CGGGGGATGGGGCGAGCGCGGGGACGGGGGCGAGCGTCGGGGTCGGGGGCGAGCGCCGAGACGGGGCCGAGCGCCGGGGACGGGGCCGAGCACCGGGGTCGAGGGCTCCGGCGGCGACGACACGGGGGAAGAGAGAATGGGATTTGGGGGAAGAGCAGAGGCGGGAAGAAGCAGAGAGAGTGAGGATTTTGGGGGTTAAGTCGAGATAGCAGTAGCGCGTTCCGTACAAACGCACTATAGCTAAGTTAGCTATAGTGCTTTTGCAAAGAACGCGCCGCTATTTTAGATAGCTGTAGCGTTTATTTCAGAAAGCGCTAATGCTGTTACAGATAGCGATATCGTTTTCCTGTAGAAAGCGCTACTGCTATTACCTGTAACAGTCGTCCTGTTTGTTTCTTCTATTTTCTTTTCCTTTATTTTCTCTCCCTTTTCTTTTATTTTCTTTTCCTTTTTTCCGAGAGCAGTGAATGAAGGGAAGGTGATACAATGTATATAACTAAGGCGATATATATTGCATCATTTGACGGTTAAGTATGTATACAAAATGGGAACATATATATTACATCATTTAACCAATGCACAATGGCCAGGTGTGTACACAAACTGGGAACATATATATTACATCATTTGACTGATAACGTACGGTTCCTCAGCGTTGAAGTTTTTGTTTTTGAGTGAGCTTCTTTCCCTTCTTGTTCGTTGAAGGATAATTGAGCCCCTCATTGTGACTTTTCCTTTTCCATGGAGTACGATCTTTCTTAGGTAATGTAGTATTGATTCTTCTTTTGACATATACTTCATCATCATCGTCATCTTCCCTCATTGGGTTGTCGTACTGGTCGTAGTCTTCCTCATTGGCGACTCCATCCATTCCAATGATGTTCCTTTTGCCTCTTCTCACGACAACACGGTTGGGATTGAACGGATCGGTTATGAAGAAGCATTGTGTCACATGCTTAGCGTGTACCCATGGCTCGTTTTTTGCGATAGCGTTCAGGGTAGCGCTCTTGGCGTCGGGTATTGTCATGGTAGTGAAAACCGGTTTTCTCTTTGGACATTCTTAGCCCATCTGACACGGAACATTGTCGCGTTGTGCAGTCCAGAATAGTAATTAAAGCTCCCAGATCTCCTCGACCCTTCCGTAAAATTTCTCAGTTGGGCCGTTTTCGTTGTCGGTCATGCATTCCATCTTCACCACTGAGTTCTG